AAAAAAATTTTCAGGTTAAAAAACTTTGGTTTTCTTGTTCCTCACATGTCTGAGTTTGAGTATGAACTACAAGAATTGTTAATTGAAATTGATATGCTTATTGAGAAAAAAAAGGAGGAGTGGGAGAAAGATCTTCATGCACTTGAAAAAAAGCTGTCCCTTCAGGTGTCTGAAAACAACAGGCTTCAGAGTCTTGTTTATGAAAAAGAGAGGGATGTAAGCTCGTGCTTAATACAGTTAACTATTTGTAGCTACAAGATGCTTTTCAGCGTCTTCAAATGGTTGAATCGAAAGATTCGAGAATGTATTATGATAAACAAATCGAGGAATTAAGCACAAAGGTTGATGCGATGAAAGTTAATTACAACAATCTGCAAAGAAAATACCAGAAGCAGTTAGTTGCAGAAAAAAATGATTTCTCAATGCATCTTCGCAATCTAGAGAAGGAAAATGAGGCTCTGAAAGCTGATTACGAGAGATTAAGGTGTGTTACTTTTTTATAATACCAATATTCATGTCCAAAGTGTATTCGTTTTGCGTTTACTGTTAAGATAGAAATAATGGTACACAACAAATCAGTAAATGTGCTTAGCAACCACAATTAATTGGAATAAGTTCTGTGATTTGGGTCTATTTGACCACTGTTTCTAGTGCATCACTGTTGTACTGAAACAAGAAATCAGACTTCTGATCACTTTCTGTTGATGAGTGACTTGTCTGATATCTGTGTTGCGATTCCCTAACCTGAATCGAACTGTCGTCTGTCGTTTTTCACTGATAATATAATCCAAAAATGCGTGCTGCACTAAACGTGTAGTCACACACATTTCCCGTCGTTAAAAATTGACAAATTATTTTAGTACCCGCCGATTGCCTTGTGTCTGACCGAAACGAAAGGCTCGATTGGCTTTTGCCAACTTGCGTCAGACAAGCAGACACAACGCAGAACTTCGTGTGTCAGGTTGCCATACCACATCAGCCATCCAAGAGTGGTGGCGGTAGTAGAAGTATTAGCGGTAATGGAAAAGATTAGTGAGCGAAGATATGATTCGAGAAGTATAATTCAGTGAGATAAATTTAGAAGGAGCTGCTACCTTAACGTGGTGGTCGGGCTTGACTATCGTGATGGCCCAAACGAGCTATATTGGCTGGAACATATGTTCCTGAAGGTTCTACCATGCCAGGCAGGTCGATTGGAGAACGATGAGACTAAAAGCAGCTACTCAATGTCTGAGGGTGAAGTCGTACTGCTGACTGCAGAGGGATGTGACAGCAGTAAGGTGTTTCTCTCGGATATCCAGCATCTACATCGATGCTGCCTTCTCACAAGAAAGGAATGGTTAGAAAAGGTCGACCCTAAAATGTCACACCTCACCCTACCTCACGGATTTCCGTCTCCGGCGGTAAGGGTGTCCACCAAGGGCTTTCAATAGCGGAGCTAATTCTCGAAAAACCCATCATAAAAAGGCCGTGCGTGACCGGCCTGAAGCAGTTGTCCGTTGGGCTCTGTGGTCACGCTCCCAGGTCGTTAAGACCAACACTAATCTACTTTCCTTTTCAGGTTTCTCAAGAAACAACCTTCCACGGTGTGGGCAGCCGGAAAGTGATAACCGCCCTCATACCCGTAACAGCACGCGAGACCGAATCGGTCATAATCGACTTGCGTCACTTATGTCATAGCCGAGATATCCGTTTGCTAAACACAGGATGATTGTACTGCGTAGCACTTCTGTACATTCTACTATATGGCTCTGAAACAGCCGTTAAGAGTAGATATTCGTAGGTTACTGTTTTCCGATCGTAGGTGTCTCCGAAGCATCGCTCATTTATCTTAGGACTATCGAGTAAGCAATGCTGTTGTTAGGAAACGGGTACTATGTAAGGATGGCAGATGGATAGATGAAATATTGAAAATTCATCAGTTGAGGCGGTTAGGACATGTGTTACGTATGCCTAACCACCAACTGCCTTGATAAGCCATGGATTGAATCATGTTGGTAAGTGTTGACTCCCTGGTTAGGTTCCGCGAGATGATAGTAATCGATGGTTCGAGACCTTGAGTGGCATGGCTGAAAACAGCTTGTAGTGGTGCAGGTGCATCCATTCTTTGGCTTCTATCAAATCCTAATACTCTCAGCTTTATCTTTCTCCTTTTGAGTTTATTTTATTAGATTATACTTCTTGAATAATTTCGTCAAACCCTAATCTCTCCGATTATTGCTAATACTTCTACTACCTCTTCTACTATGGGATTTGAACTGACAATTGCATCTTTGGGCTAATGTGGTACGGAAACCTGAACTGATGTACATACGTACTTACGAAGTCCTACGTTGTAACTATTGGCTGCAATAAATACTCCTTTAGGTTTAACCATGACCGGCAGACTGACTGCAAGACGGCTATACCAAAAGCATTAGTTTTAAATCTGAGAGTGAAGTTGTACAGCCTGCTATAGAGATGTGTGACAGCATAAGATGTTTCCTTCTACCAACCAGTTTGTGTAGCGGTGTTGCCTTCTCACAACGTAAAACGGGGTCAGAAGAGGTCGATCTTCATTGTGTCACCTCACCTTACGCACGAATTTCCGTCTTCTATAGTAAGGCTTTTTGAAGTGCGGAGCTAACACATCAAAAACATCCCAAACATATGCCGTGCATGATCGGTCTCAAGCAGTTGTTCCCTGAACTTTTCAGCACATGAGATCATATTGTTCACAACAGGATCCCTCCCACACCTTTTGATAACTCGTTTTTCCCAACGACTAACCTTTCTCACCTATCTTTATCATGCACCGCTGATGCGAATGATTCAAGTTCACGAAATATTATTACTGGTCCCCTCATAACACGCTCTAAACTTTACGTTGGCGTTTTTGTTATGAGAGTTCTGTGTCAGGTAGGATAACAGGCCTCCTTAGCTAATATAATACAATCCCACACTATCGATGTATGTTGCGTCTCCGAAACGTGCATAAGGGATCCAAGCACAGTCATTCACTCGACCTGACCTTGTGAGTATGAAGAACCAATACAATTTATCATTCGTGTATCTGGGGCTCCGACTGCTACTTTATGTGGCCTCGTTGGTGTAGGTAATGCAATAAGTTGTGAAGCAGAACTGGTTCTCTTAGTCTGGATTTCTGTAGATAGTTGTTTGTGTACTGTTTGACCTAGCGAGACAGTAAGAACTCAGAAAGATAAGAACACTCTTTGTTGTCTCCGCCTACGCCCCGACTGATTGCAGTTCAGATGATATGAACGACGGATTTGACGGAAAGCTTTCCGACCTTCAAAAAGCTAAGCGCTCTGATGTAGATTAAGCGATACTGGAAGACACGGCAACCATCTGCTACAGCTATGCTTAGATAACCATCTACTCCCGGCAAATACCACCTTTAAACAAGGAAAAACATCTTTTGACATGGCGAACGCCATAATCGACTGAACGTTGAACTCGGATAGACCTCATTGCCATCAGTCATTGTTGCATAAGCTTAATAAGAGATTACCGCTCATTCTGGAGCATATGCTTAGATTCATGATCTAGTACAGGCGCGTATTTGTTCGCGATTTACTGGAAGCAAAATACGTACAGCAAGGAAACCCCTTGGAGTCCAACTTAATGATAAAAAAGCCAAGAACTCGTTTCAGGAACAACCAGGAAAGCAGTTGTTCAACCATGTAAGTGATATCACTCCGAGACAGTTTGGAATAGTACTCAGAAAACTGTGGAAACAAGTAATGTTTACCAGTTAATTAAACCAAAACGTTTAGAAAAATCAATGGATTTTAGCGGCATATACTGAGGTGATAAATGCTCGGAGATTCATCTTGATATCGAAAAGACACTGGCAACTGGTAACGTTAGTCAACTGTTAAAACTTATCAACTAGACGGGTATTAGAAGTTCAATCCTAATGATCTGATATCTGACGAAATCTCATCACACATTCAGAAGGTTCCATTGACTTTTACGAACTGACATCACTTGTGATGAAGGTCAGGTACCTCTCTGCCCACCAAAGGACGAGTTTACTGTGTAGCAGTTCTCTCCATTCTACCATATGGCTGTGAAACATGACCATTAAAAATTGATATTCGAATGTTACTGGTATTCAATCATAGGTATGTATCCTGAAACTCTCGAGTAAGCAATGTCTAGGTTAGGAACAGAATACCAGATAAAGTTGGCAAATTTGTTGATGACGTAGTGAATCCTCATTAGCCACTGAGTGCAGTTCAGACGAGGTGAAAGACGAGTTCTACAGAAAGCTTTCGGACCTCCTCCAAAAAGTTAGGCGCTCTGATGTAGTAATAATGGGTGGTGATTTCAATACTCAGGTAGGTAGACTAAGTGAAAATGAAAAACACCTAGGTGGATATTATGGAGTAGGTTAGAAGAAAGCTAAGGGCGGCCAAACCAAAACATGGCAGAAATCCATGAAGTCACTGGCTAGTGGACTGAATCATGTTGGTAGATGTAGGCTGCCTGGTTGGGGTCCGCGAGACGATAGTCACCGATGGTTAGAGACCTTAAAGGACATGGCTCAAAATCGTTCGCAATGGCGCAGGTGCATCCACTCTTTGTGTTCTCTCTAATTCTAACCTTCTAAATTCCTCATAATCTCTTTCTCCTTCTACATTTTTCTGACTGAATTATACATCTCGAATCATATCTTCGCTCCCTAATCTTCTCCATTACTGCTAATAGTTCTATTATTGCTATCACTCTTGGATTTGAACTGACAGTTGCATCTCTGTGCTGATGGGGTATGGCAACCTGAACTGATGTACTTACGTACATAGTTCTGCGTTGTATCTGTCTGTTCATTTGTTTATTCACCATGCTTCTATTCTAGTGACCTAGTTTCAATGAGGCATTTATGTATTTGTTTTTAATTCAACAAGTCAGATTAATATTTTAGCGTCAATAGTGAATCATGTTTAAAGCGTTGTTTATTTTCTTCAAAAAAAAAAACTATATAATTTAGACAAAAAAATGAACAAATCATTTCATCGTTGAAGCAGCAAGTGATCGACCAGCAAAACAACTACTTCGATATTCAGAAACGGTATAACGAGTTGCAATCTCAATTTGAAGTTAAACTACAAGAAGAAATTAATCAGATAAATAATAACATGAAAACAATGAAAGAAGAGCATCAATCAATTATTGATGAACTTAACAAACAATTGAATAATCATAAAACTACAATTCAGCTTCAGGTTTTGTTTGTTTTAGTCAATTTCTTTAATCAATAGTTTCTTTTTATAGGCTGAAGAATTAATGATTACCAAAGCATCATTGGCAAATAAAAATTCAGAAATTCATTGTCTTTCACATGAAACTGGATTAAAGAAATCGGTTTTGAATAATTCTCCGAAATCGGTTAAACGTTTCGATAAAACTGTAGCGAAACATTTAAATTTACTGTTACATCGAAAGCACAATTCAACACCTAATATATTACTTAAAGATGGATCAAATTTATTAGTTGATTCACTCTCATCACGACAACAATTACATCAACCACTTGATGATCAAGAAGAAATTAACCATAAAATTAAGTATTTGGAAAATCAACTAAACGAAGCTAATAATATCCTCATAGAAAAAATGCTAGAAATAAGGTAAACAATTTGTTTGTTTATAAAATGCCAGAAAATTAGGTTCATTGTGTATTTTGTTGTTTAAATAGATTACTAACATTTTATGAATAAGGTTGATATTCGACGAAAACTACTTTTCTGAATTAGTTTTTATTCATTTAACTTAGATATATGAATTTGTTTGTTAACATCATATTAATATCTCAATAATCTCTCAGATAGAATTTGGATTTGTAATTCAAGTATCTAACTTGATTTTCAATCAGCAATTCACACTACAGAACTTTATTTCATAGAGTCAGAATACCTAATCAGCCATTATGTAATAATACTGCATTTAATTACTAAGTTGTAATAGGGATGTGTTGTTTTAAATGGCACTAATAGGCTAATTTTAGTTGAACTGGTGGTCTAACGTTGATCGATTCGATTTCAAAAAGCAACTCAACAATCTTTACAAATTGCATGTGCTCACTAGTGACTAGCTCTGTGAGTCAGTTTCTCCGAGTTCTAGTGAGAAGTCGTGACCAGTGGAGTTTATTTCTGTTCCGGTTTAAAGCAGTGCCCACCAAAGACAGTGGATGAGGTCGCGCAACACTGTGGATCGAGTGAAGTTAGACATTACCACCGTTAGATACCGGCTCAGTGATCCAGAGGTTGAGCGTTCGCGCGCAAGGCCGAAAGGTCCTGAGTTGGAATCCAGCGAGTTGCGACAGTCGTGGATGCACACTGCTGTGTCAGGACGAAACAGCCGTCGAATACTTCCAGGTTTCTAATGGTAGTCTAACATTGATCGATTCATGATTTCAAAATGAATCTATATAAACACATAAATAGAAACAACAAGAAACGTGTAGACAAATGTAAGCCATACTTGTTACAAATGGAATGAGGCAGTCGGAAATTTTATAGCAGTAAAAGAATTGCCAAGATATTCTAGTCATATTTATGTTAAGATAGATTTCATGAATTATTGACTGAACTTTCTGAAAAATCTCGGCTAGAATTTCCCAATGCTTTATGCAAAAGTACACCATAATAGTCTAAACAGTTATTAGATAACATTTCAACCTGAAGTCTAATTAACTGATATTGTTATTACCTATGAAGGCAAATATTTCCCGAATTGAATTCGAAAATTATTTGCAAACTGTCTACTGATTTCAAAATGATTGTTCTCGTGAAAACTGTAATTTCATGTTGTAAATATCAATTACTACAAAGTCACTATTATATATATATAATTTTTTAGACTTTCATATTGTGCCTATTGCAAGTAAGCATACATCAATGAAATAAAACTAGTCATTTTCTAAATCTGACATCTTTTGTGATAAAGTCAAAATCATCTGTAGTTCTTTTTTAAAAAAAATTTTCAGTTTTAATCTTTTGTTGTGTTTTTAAAGCTAAAATAATTGAAGTTGGTCAATAGCAATTATTATATCATTAAGACATAAACTGTACGGTAGAACACGGGTTATTTTTTCGCTTAAATTTAAGAATCTGAGTCGCGATTGATTCAGTCAGTCAGTTACAACCTAGTACTCTGTACATAAATACATCAGTTCAGGTTGCCATACCATATTAGTGCAGAGAAGCAACTGTCACTTCAAATCCCATAGTAGTAGAGGTGGTAGAAGTATTAGCAGTAATCGGAAAGATTAGGTTTTGACGATATTATTCAAAAAGTAGAATCTAGTGAAATAAACTTAAAAAAGGTAGGATAGAGGTGATGAATTCAGAAGATTAGCAATTCAGCAAACACAACATGTGGATGTACCTGCGCCATTGCAAACGATTTTGAGCCACGTCGCGATTGATTAGAATAGAGGGAATTAATCAATTTTCGCGTACTACTTACAAGTACAACTGAAATTTGCGTGTTGATTGGTTTAGTTGTGACGATATGTTACCTACTTAAATTTGCATCACTCTTATCATGTCCAATGTAAATGACAAATCGAATCGGATGTGCTTATCGAGTTGTTGATAAGTGAATTGATAACTTTTTAGTAAATCATAACGTATTGTCTTAGTTTAATTTTTTTTTCTTACTTTCAGTCGACTTGAAAATGTCTGTCAAACAGCATCTGCTACAATTCGTCGTTTAGTAGAATCCAAGGCATATCCGAATGAACCAGCCAACAAGCCCTTAGAATCGTTCATTAATGAAGCCCGTGAAAGGGTGGGAAACTTTGAAAAAAAATTATCTTTAGTCGAAAAGGTAAAAATAAAAATAAGAAAACATATAAGTATTTATCAACACGAATCTTTTCTTCGTTCATCCACATACAAATCATTTGAATAGTATCCAAAATGTTGAGATAGTGGCGAAAATTTATAGCTCAGGTGGATAACTGTGGTGGTGTTTCGTTTTCTGAGCTGGATGTTTTGGTTGTAGAGTTTGTATTGTTCTTTTGAACAACATCATCATCACAAACTTCAGATTGAAATGCAGTATTTGAACTTCTCCACGTACGACCCGTAGCTTGTTCTCGATATTGATTGGTTGTTATTGACCTTAAATATGTCAGATCAAAAGTGGATACAATCAAGATAAAGGTGCAGACAACGATGGGTTTAGGGTCAACGACAACCAATCAAGACCAAGGTCAACTCAACAAGCTACGAGTCATAAGTGGAGGAATATGAATATTTCAATTCCTTATGAAGTCCATGCTAATGATGTTTTCCAGAAGAACATTGAAAGCTTCACAACCAAAACATCCAGCTCAGGTAACGAAACTCCATCACAAGTATCTAAAATCTACCAGAATACAAGAAAATTCAGTTAATACAAAAAAAGCTCAAAGCTTTTTTTAAAATATTAATTTGGATGGTTAACCATTGGTTGTTTTGTTGTGAATTCTGTCAATTTTGGATTGATAATGAATAGTATGCCCATCTTTGTGGAAGACAGCCGGATTTCTGATACTGGATTCCTTGACAAGTCTGAATAGTCGTCTACTGTTACCTAGTGCCACTGCCTTTTCAATCTCCTTTGTTTTCGCTACCTACCACTGTTCGCGATCATTACATAGGCTTCTTATTAGCCTGCACTTGAGTTGGCTCCGCTCCTCATCATGTTCAGAGCTGGATGAAGTGCTTTCGAGCATCTATCAGTTCAATCGATGCTCCTGAAGCCCACTGCTTCTCCTTAACCTTATGATTTACCTTACTTGCAGATATCACTGCTGTTTCCACAGGTTTTTGGATATCGTTCCAAGCTATGCCGGGTTGGGCATCACTAACCTGGCTGCCAAACTGTTTTACCAGTTGCCACTCTCAAATCAACCTACGCTGCATGATAGTACCTACAGAAACATATGTTCCAGGCAATATAACTTAGTTGGATCATTACGATAGGCAAGTCCAACCACCACGTCTAGGTAGCCGCTACGGTTTGGGACTGATACAAACTGATCTTAACTCATACAAATTAATAAACACACTATAAACGTTGATAAGTCTATAAACTAAGTACATATTTAAACTTCACTACTGTTTGTAACATTGTATTCTTGATATGTTAACTGCTTAATGATAGTCATAAAAAGTTCGATAGATTAATAGAACTTTATCAAATGCATCAATTTTGTTTTGAAGATATACTTAAATAGAACTTGTCTATTTACCTTCATGTTAAGTTAGTTGCTGTTTAAAGCTATTAAGTGTAATCAACATTTATTATCTTCAATATAGGATTTATCGGTTAAATTGTCAAAAACGGTATCTGAAATATGTCGACTTAAACAATTTGTTCATGAAGTAGGTTTTCTGTTTTTATCATTATCGGATATTGTGTTTCTTTTCGAATTTTTTTATTTTACTATTTTTATTCATGAGCATTTCGCAAAAGTAGCTAAAATTCGCTCTGTCAGATTCTACAGTTAATATAAATTATTGACTGAATACGAGTTTATCTACTCCGGCCAGTAATGCTAGACATCTGTCCAGACTGAATTAATTGAGGTTCGGTTGAGAATTGTACTTTGCTTCATTGTATGTATTTTTCTTAAAAATAATTTTATGTCATTCTTTTCTTATATTATATTATTTGGTTTTGTCACCTTAAAATGCATTTATCAACTTGACTCACTTACTATAAGTTAGTGATCATCATCTTGTTTCATGGTTTCAAAATGATAAAGAAAAGTCATTCCACATGACTTTCCTAACAAACCTGTCTGAAGCAGTACATAAATTAAAATCTTTCAAAGTCATTTTTCATAGACTATATCAATTTTTTGCGCCAAGATTCATGCCTATCTCTTCAATAAATCTAAGTTCATAAGAATTATGACTGACAGTTTTAGTCCCTCTATTCAAAATAAGTTCCAAATACTCCTGTCACTTCTTCAGTCACGGAAGCCGTACTAGACAGTCTAAAAATTAATCTTTCCATCTCTTTTATATATCCTTGCCATAATAATATCTGTGTATTTAAACTGATTATTCACACGCTTTGTCATTCAGCATAATGTAGTCATTGAATCTATATGTCTTTGTAGAAATATTTGTTCGTGTTATCATGCTGGTTTTTTTTTCATTATTCTTATCACCACAACTAGTACTAATAATAATAATAATAGTAATGATAAGAATACACCCACGACTACTAACTACATTTTTGTCATTGTTGTAATCGCAATTTGTAATTGCATATTGTGAATAGCTGTGTAATCTTAATCATTGTTATTATTCACTTGTAATTTGTTTTATTTAATGCTTATAAATATAATTGTATTGCAAATAAAGCATCATAGGGAATGAATAATAGAATTCAATTTTCAATTACTTGTTTATGTACACAACTCTCAGGCTCATTAATATTTGTGTATGAGAGCTACTGATATTACTGCACTGTGTTCTAAATTGAAGTGTTTGTGGTATTTTTGAGATTGATAACTCAATAGTTGACAGTTGATTTTGCTAAAACGATTAGTGCATTATTTTTCATGAGACTGTGAAATAACAATGTGAGGTGAATATAAAGTTTAAGAAATGCAGTAACTAATAATAGTTTAATGCCTCTTTTAGTCTCAGAACCATATTGCAATAATAGTTCATACCCTCTCTAATTTTCTAAATTTTAATTCATCTCACTCTTCAAACTTCTTGTATGCTTCTTCCAAAGTAAATCTATCATATCAAAATTTTCCATTTCAACTGGCATTATCATTTCAGTTTTTGTGTGGAACAATATAAAATATATGATCAACTATCTGACTTTCAAATTATAGATTGCAATTTTTTTAAACTGAATATTATTAAAATCCCTCGATATTTGGTTACACTATATCAAGATTCTAGATGGTTGAAGGTAGTCGGTAGGTTTCCTATTATTCGGGACTCGTGAGCAAGATGCACTTGTGATTTTAGGCGAAATAATGCTCCTTATGAAATCCAAACTCACATCACCTAACTTCATAGTCTGAGACGTCACCACCTAGCTATTCTCCGAACTGTGATGCCTACATTTTGTTTGATCACTCATTAGTAACCATTGTAATATTTGTCCATTCCATTCTTTCTTATAAAACGGATAGTTTTATCACATGGACTCATTAATAACATATGTGTTCTTAAAAAATAAAACCAAGAGTGTTGTATCTTCTTTTTATTACCATTAAGATTCATGCGTTCAAATCATGTGAGATAAATCAGACAGTGAAAAATGGTACTTCAGATATAGGTGTACAAACAGGTGAACATTTATTGCCTAATGATGAACTGATCAAAGTTACACAACCTTTAACTTTCAATGACAAACAGTCAGTAAGTATACTTTTTATTTGTTTCTGTTCATGATTGGCGCTGGGTTTTTTTTTCTTGAATCTTCAGAATATTTATATGACTTTAGAAAGTGTCTGTCTCATTTAAAAAGGTAATTATTCGATTTAGTTCCAGTATTTTAAAGGTTTAGAAAGAAACTGGCTGTTCTTACAACTCTTACCGTTATCACTGATATACTGAGGCAATCAGAAGGCACCTAAAGAGAATATCATTGTATGCCGTCCCAATGGACGAATGAATATAATTAGTTTAGAGATAGGTTTTTTTCTAAGGGGATTAATACATACATGTAGACGAATATTCATTTCATATTCCTCAGTATTCAAACAGGCCTTCTCTTCTGCTCTATTCCTTCTCGATCAAGCGCCTGGTTTTGAGGGTTTTAGAATTTATCTCTTCCAGATTTTGGCTCCGCCTATGATAAAAATTACATTTCTTATTTCTTTTTTAGTTTTGAGCTCAAAATTAAGACTTTTTACACTCTGCTAAAAGTGTTTCTAAAGAAATCTAGTCATTTCTTAAAGGATAGTTACATTTACTGTCATTTGTTCGGTAACCTTGCTGGATTTAATTTTGTCGTTTGATTCGCACTGCTGAATATATTCTGAGTAGTATAGCTCTTAAACAGGTTATTTTCAAACACTTCACTCGTAGTGGCCATTTTCAATCGTAGTGAAAAGCTAAATCTTGTTTAAATAAACATTGATAATTACTAAACACTGATCATTATTGGGTACTAGAAACAACAACTGTGTTTATAATATGACTGCCGATTCTCATAATCATAACATTTCAAAGTTGAGCTATCCTTTTATTATAAGAGTTGGTAATGTTTCATATGTATCTATGGTCATAAGTAGCGCCATCTATCAACTGTTAGCTGAAAACAAATGAAAAACATGTAAACAATGAACAACTGTTTTATTTCATTTATACAGATTCAAATTAAATTCATTACATTTACCTCTCATTGTGAACATAGAGGTATTTATTTGATAAGTTTAAATCCAGAATTCTATATTTTCAAAAATAATTAGCTTCCTTTCACCTGATTAACCTTCTCGACGTGTACTGTTTACTTACAAATAATAAATGATTAATTACAGTTTTTAAAGTGTACATTAGTTGTTCTTTATTGTATGACAACTCAATGAGATCGAATTTAATTGTTATAATTTCAACCTTTTTAGTTTTTAGTCAAATGTTTACCTCTTTACAAACATACTACTAACAACTAGTAGATTTTTACGGCAAGATGTTATGTGGAAATATATCGTTGTTTTTTTTTTTCACTTTCAATATGGTTGATGAACATTGAATTTGTATAATTTATTTATGAATATCTTTCATCCAATTTTTGTTCTCAGAACAATCGAACTTCATCCAATTTATCAATAAATATGAAAGAGTTGAATAAAAATCCCAGTAATTTTTCTACTGATCTCAATTCAAAACTAATTATCAATGAGTCAAATAGTAATTTCGATTGTTTATCCATCAACAACACTGCAATCGATCGATGTAATGACCAAATTGGAATGGAAGTTGTTTTTCAAATGAATCAATTGGAAAAAAACTGTTCCCATGTTAAACATGATTTACACTGTAACATCAGTTCATTTGTCAATTCTATAGATGTTTCTAATGAATCTAAGAATATTGAACAATCGATACAAACTACATCGAACAAATTGTTTGAAATTAATCATGAAAAACAAATTTTACCGTCTGATAAATCTGATATCGTTGGATTATGCAAACCAATACCATCAGCACGTTTTAAATTGTTATCATCTTCAGTTCAATGTTTCAATCATGATAATATAAATTCAAGTGGTAATGAATTAACTGAGTAAGTTACTTGTAATGTTGTTCAATTCAATCAATCTTACTAATGAATTCATCATTGTAAATAATTATAAAAATCATTAAATTTTTCTAGCATTAAACAGCATTACACCTTGAAAGTGTAACTACAAGTGAGTAATTTATAATTACTGGATTGTAAGGTTGGAATCAAGTTCTACATACGTCCATTGTAACATCTGAGTACACTTATCTCTGAAAAAATGCCCTTAACCCATGGGTGAATATGAAATTAGGCACTTGGTAAGTAGTTTGCATTCAAATGATACAAACGTCTTTAGTGGGTAATTAGAAAGAGTTAGTTACATTGTTGTTGTGTACCTGGTGCCTACCACTACTTGCTCTGTTAGACTGATAAAGAAGTAGGTGTGAAAGAAGTTGAAGGCTATCAAATCTGAACAAAATATCAACCAATCAAGTTACTCATATCTAGTATGAGTCATGTTGATGTGTACGACATTCTTAATACGGGCTCATACATTAGTCGTAACTTTCAGTTGATAATTTTTCGGTTATAAGACATCTACACTGTTTTTGGTTTATTTCGTCAAGCCACTATTTCTTCTGTTCATTTGTTCATTGAGGTTGTTAATATTCTCTGTCCTTTACTTCTTATATCTCTTCGATTCATTGGAGTGATTTAAGATTTGACAACTTGAATCAAAACAAATTCACGGCAGATTCTATGTAGACGATGCCTAACTGACTTACGGTTGTTTTCTCTCGACTAAGTATCATCACAGAAATATCATTTGTGTATTCGTAATCTCAATTGAAATGCTCATATAAATTGTGTAATAAGGAAAATTTAGAGTGCGATTTCTGCTTCCTAAATAAATAGGATCATTCGAGTTCTAGTTGTTAAACACAATCCAATGCCATAATGTGGAAGAATTGTCTTTATTTATAACTGATCTATCATATCTAGAGTACTACAGAATAGAAGATTCACATGACTACTACTTATAAGTATTTTTTTATTTAGATAATATACATTTCTATTGTTCTTTGGGCTTTCGACTAACACAATAGTTTACAAGGTCAAAACGAAACTGAACATTGATTGACATAAACAATAATTCAGTTATTACTTAGAAAAGAAGAGTATTTTTTTCTCTCTATTTATTCATCAGATTATTTAGTAGAGAAAAATAAATAACCAACATGACTAAATCTCGAAATCAGTATACCAACTTGATGTTAGTTGTTTTACTGTTAAATTAAACTATTGATCATATGTCTTTGATTTTGCTATATTGACAGTCAGAATATATATATCCATTGGACAAACTAACTGAGATATATGAGCTTTGTAACTCAATAGATCATTATGCTTTAGAGTATTTAGAAGGGAAGTTTTTGAATAAAAGTTTCAGCCTGAACATCAACACTTGGGACATAAATATATCTTGTAGACAAATCTGAAAGCAAATAAAATATTTGTTCTAAATTATTGTACTTACTAGTCACAATCACAATCCATTCCATGAAACTGGTTTTCATCCGAGTTTGAAGATGTTGAACAGTGTCTTTATACACATTTCTTCTTCATTATAATTTTGAATGCAATTTTTTTCAGATTCTCTCGATCCCCCACACCGCATAAGCTTGATATCATTCAAACAGTGGGCTTTTAGGTTTTATTGGTGTCCATTTACACAGCTTACGTTAACTTCTGATAATCGTGTTGTTAGTTCAAGTTTATGTTAGGATATTCATCCAATATCCTAAGAGAATTATTGGTCAATTCTATGGTCGTCCTAGATATCAATGTCACGTGCTTCAATGTTGTTTCTTATTGGTCATCCTGACTGTCAATGTCACTTCAAATGTTTTCTCCTATTGGTTGCCTTAACTGTCCATGTCAAAGACTTCGATGCAGTTTCCTATTCGACCTTACTGTATAAATACGCATTACCTGTAACGTTTTCGGACTCGGACCCGGGATCCTGATTCCCTTCTGGACTCGGACCTCGTACTTTCTGGATGTTTGTAGAATACAGGTTCTACTTCATATCAAGTCTTCTTGTTTTACTCAATGAGGATCGGGACAATCGGATGAGAATAGCCTGTCGTGTCTCCGGATCGTCGATCCTCGCTCTCGTTTTCCGACTAAGGTAAACTCGTAATAGCTCAAGCATATCAACTTGACATGTTTACATGTATTCGTAACAGATTACTCTTATGAAATATAAAACATTCTTCAAAAATACCACGTTATTCGATATTTAAAAAATTTTGCTTGAATTACTTGCTGATAATTAATGAATGCTATCGATTGTGACACAATTGACTTTATTCAACTTACATTCAAGCATCTAACCATTTAGATTAGTGACTAATATGCACACTAACTGATTTGTTTTGATCAACACACAAGATCGATTAATGCGGAGTGATCAATCAACTTGAATATTACAAGAAAACAGTTGCTTAATTCTCATGGATTACTTCTATCCTCATACATAACTTCTGTGTACTCTGTATTCAGTGGCTACGTAGCACGATTATAAAATGTAATGCAGTACTGTAACAGTCTTGGAAGCAATAACTTAAGAGTTTAATTGACTAAACTACCAGTTGACTACTTCAATTGATGCATGAACCAATCGATTGATTGTGTGTCTACTTTGTACTAATAGATTTTTCATTTTTTTTTTATGATTCAATAATTATCAAATTTGTATATGATAGTTTGTTCTTGTTTTTGTTTTTTGTTAATCTCAATTCACAGTGTAGATAAACATGACTATGTTGTTTTAGTTGAACCGACATCGGCGTTATCAATTTCTGAAATGTTTCAGTCGCCTGAAATCAATACCATTGTCAATAATAATAATAATAATAATAATAATAATAATTCATGCTTGAATGATCATAATGATGCAATTAGAATTGTATCTACAAGTATTCCTCATTGTTCTGTTTTCAAACAACACGGTACATTTGTTGTTGAATCCGATATCAATGTTCAATGTGATCGTCAATCAATAAATTCATCAGATGAAGTAAATAAAATTGAATTGAATTGAATGCATGAATGATAGAATTATTGAAGTAGTTTTTTTTTTATCAATTAATTGTTTTCAAATCATCACATCATTGTGTTTGTTTTGTTCTGTTTTTTTACATTGTGATATCATATGTTTACAAGCTTAGGCAATGATTAGTTCAATTAGTCTATACTTGGTATAGACTATTTTTGACAATAATTTACTAATTCTGAAAAGGGGACTTTATTATCTTGGCTGAAAATCATTTGCAATGGCTTAGGTGCATCCAATATTTGTGTTCTCTGAAATCCTAATCTTCTGGATTTGTCAACACCTGTGCCTTTATCTTTCTCAATTTATCTCACTGTATTATTACACTTCTACAATAATATCTTGGAATCTTAATCTTCTTCATTAGCAGTCAGTCAGTCAGTCAGATGCAACGTAGAACTTCGTACGTAAGTACATCAGTTCATGTCGCCATACCACATCAGCACAGAGATATAATTGTCAATTCAAATCCAATAGTAGTAGAGGTAGTAAGGGAATTAGAAGTAGTCAGAGAGGTTAGGATTAGAAGATATTATTCAAGAAGTATGATTCAGTGAGAAAAGTTTACAAAGTTGAAGAGTCCAGAAGATTAGGATTTGAGAGAACACAGGTGCCGATGAGACCCAGCAGTAATACTTATGTTATATCTACCACTATGGGATTTGAACTGATAGTTGCATCTCTGTGCTAATGTGGTATGGCAACATAAACTGATGTACTTACGTGTACAAAGTTCTATGTTGCAGCTGACTGACTGACTTTAAATCTTGTCATTTGAATCACTTTAATTTTATCAAATTAGTTAGCGTTTTTTTTTCTCTTTGAAATAACAGAATAAGTAAAATTGTGACATTTACTATCAAGTCTAATAGTTGCTTAAACCTGTGTCTTAAAAACTCTAGACATCATGTTTAGATTTAACCAGATAACAAAATTCACTAGTGGAGAACTTTAAGTGACTTGATTCGAAAACAGTTGTTTTGATATAAATGCTTCCATTTTTTGAATGCTTAGTCATATTTCCATAACAGTTTACTTGTAATTGTTTCCGATTTTGTCTTGTTCATACTCCTAACCAGTTGGCAGAATGCTGTCTTGCTTTAACTTAAATGTCTACTACTTTGAAATGAAGTTACATCTTTAAGATTTCAAACTCTAACTGTTATTTGCTTGTTTATTTATTTAAACACAGAAACAAGTGATTCTCCTAGGAGATCATTCCCTGATCTTAGTTGTGGATGTCTAATTCACAACAAAATGAAGCTAAATCAGGAGATGTATATATCTCATGGTAGCCGATGATCAACAGCAGGTTCGTATGCCACTTGTTCCCTCAGGATCTTGAAGCATATGTGAACCGTTAGTTCGAAATCATAGTTTTCCAACTCTTCTAAGTTGATTCTTCAAACTCACTAACCTGGTTTTTAGCCATACATTCCCTTTTTCTCTTCTCAATTTTGTAAAAGCATTGCTCGTATATCGTGGGACACCCGAGTGAGCAACGCTGTTATTAGGAAACGGGTACTAGGTAAGAATGGCAGATCAATCGATGAAGTGGTGAAACTCCATCAGTTGAGGTGGTTGGGACACGTGTTGCGTATGCCTAACCAGCGACTCCCTCGTCGAGCTTTGTTTTGTAGTGTAGGAATAGGTTGGAAGAAAGTTAGGGGCGGCCAGACCAAAACATGGCAGAAATCCATGAAGTCATTGACGAGTGGACTTAGCCATGTCGGTAATTGTCGACTACCTGGTTGGGGTCCGCGAGATGATAATAATCGATGGTTAGAGACCTTGAATGACATGGCTCAAAATCGTTCGCAATGGCGCCGGTGCATTTATTCTTTGTGTTCTCTCAAATCCTAATCTTCTGAGTTCTTCAACACCTCTAGTTTTGACTTTCTAAACTTATCTCATTGAATCATACTTCGTGAATAATATCTTCTAATTCTAACCCCTCCGATTACTTCTAATACCTTTACTACCTCTTCTACTATTGGATTTGAATTGTGGTATGGCGACATGAACTGATGTACTTACGTACGAAGTTCTACGTTGCAACTGACTGACTGAAAAACACCCCTGGTACGAGAAGACAAAGAGTAGTAGACGTGTGGCAATATATGAGCGTTTGGAGAAGGAAAGTGAATTGTCTGCGTTCGGAAACTTTTGTCTTGACTTATCGTTCAAGTTTGTATATCATAATAACTCGGTTGATAAATATTGGCTGGAATACCAACTCCTTTAGATCCTACCATAACCAACTAATCAATAACGTTTAAGGTCCCTAACAAGTGAGAAACTCGAACTGTAGGTAATATGGGGCGCTTGTGGCATGAAGATAAGAAATTTAAATTTCTAAAAATAAATTAGAAAATTGAGAGGTTTACCAAACGATTTCTAGGGATCTAGCATCCCTAACAAGAAATTTGTATTTCTTTTTGACAACTGTTATATGCAGCAATACTGTCTTTTCATGATAGAAAAAGAAAGGATTTGAAAAGTTTGGCATTAACAATGTTACATCTCAACTTGCCTTACTGTGATTTCGCCACCAACAATGATGTTTGAAAAAATACGGAGCCCAAATATCAGAAATTTCCCACCAAATATGCTATACGACCGGTCGCATGCAGTTGCACTCTAGACTTTGCAGTCATATCTCCATGTTCATTCATTTGTTTTTGTATGATTGTATTTTGAATCGATCTACTTATGTTCAACTTGAGATTCCGGTCATTCAACAACAACAACATAGAACTTCATACGCACGTGCTTCAGTTCAAGTTGCCATAGAGATAAGAGTGTAATTAGGAGGTGTAGGAAGGATTTGATTCTGACAGATTAGGTCTCGTGTGTTTTAATGGGTATGTGGGCAGATGTTACTTCCCGGCTGCACACACCATGAAAGGGCTGTGGTTCTCAGAACGGGCATCGGCCTCGTGACTTCCGAAGAAGTTCGACTTTCATCATCAGACGTCATAATTCTTCCAAATGAATACTTTCTAACTCCCAGAGCAGAGTTTAAATGGTTTGAATTACTTTTTCTTGTTTTCTTTCTTGAGGTCGTCAACCCCCAATCCCGACCCTCCTCTTTTATCCGGGCTTGGGACTGGCAATAGCCCTAGCAATAGACCATCTTTCTCCTTCCTAACATTCATTTCTCAATAGATAATACACAATATCATTAATTATCAGTTTATATTTATTTTCTCCACTTTTTATCTCTGATGTTTCTGTTCATTTTTATTTTAGGCAAAATCATTATTATCATTTGAAAAAAATTCAAGACCACAATTACCGTCACATTGTTGTTCAACATTATTCTATCAATCTCAAATGAATTTGAATAAAGAAGATACAAGTGTTTATAATTTAGCTGCACAATTTTTAATTGATGAACAAAAATATTCCATATTATTAGAACAACAAATTGATGCCCATTTAAAGTGTCTGCAAGAACATGCTGAAAACAACATTTGAATGAATCATATTAAATTTATATATACATATATATATCCATCTATGAGTTTCATTTTTAATATTGTGAAAAATTAATCACACTAATTTTTTAGTTAGTATTTCATGCTAGAATATTTTTTAATGAATATACATTCAAACCTGTCTCAATTTTACGGAGTATTAATGCCTTGTTTAAAAAGTTTTTTTTTATCCCACTTATCAGTTAGTTGGATAAGCATATCATTCATGGACGTTTACTTCTTTTTTTTTTCTTGGAAAAATAATCTTATTCTAATTAACTGTGATATATCAATGTTTGACCTCATAACAATTTAACCTTTTTTTAGGCGGATATATATATATATATATATATATATATATATATATATATAGATTGGTGTTTTTATTGACTTTTTTTATCCCTGTGTCGCATACACACACATACACACACCTCTAAACACCTATGTTCAACAAACAGGCTTCTGTCCAGAGAGAAAGTGACACGCACATATCGATCTATGAATGCAGCTTGCAAAGACAAGCATATTCAATGATATGCACAGACAGGCGGAATAGTATAAATTAATATTCACCATGTTAATACTTAGCCATTCATGTCTATCTATCTATTTATCAATCGTATAAGTAGTGTGAATAACAATGATTTCTTCCAGTCTATGTTTGGAGAAATAAGAAACTAAATGAGGATGGACGATTTCTGGATTTTCTTTTGACATCATCATGTTATGTCTACTTCAAATACTTTGTCAGCTTAATCTGTTTTCTCTCTTCATTTTTTACTTTCGACTTTTATATGCAAAGAAGAGATTTTGTATTTAACGTTCCATTTTTTATTCATTCAGAAAATTTCATTTACGCATTGCTTTTTAACTAAAACTCAGATAGTGTGTTTTCATTGTTTGTGAAGTAGGTTTTATTTTTTAATCGTAAATTATTATTCACATTGAAATTATACGTTTCACTGTAATCACTGCCTTTTTTCTTTTCTGTATTAGTATCTTCAATCTAGGAGTAGTCAGAAGAGACAACTGTGTCTTGTCAGTGAATGTTGTATATCTAATGTTGATCTTTCATTGACCGGATTATTTTTTTCTTGTAGACTAGGAATTCAAGTATGAATGACACTGAGTTCATTGTCTTGTAAAAGATTAGAAATGACACAGTTGACAGGCAAAACTACACACGAATTGCTGAGTCGTCCGATCATAGAATATGTTATTATTAGTAAAGTAAATCAATACGGTTTAGACAAATACTCCAATGTACATAATCATTGGCGATGTAAATAATGAGGCAACTAAAAAGCACTTGTCACGATCTCAGAATCAAATATTTAGTCCAATCAAGTGTTGGTTTATGTAATCAATTTTGACCGACAATTTTAAATGTGTAAGATTGAAAAAATATCACATTAGACTGCACAAATCAAAGTAATAGAGTGAAGTTCGAATTTAAAAACATTTGTTATTGAAATGTGAACTTTACAACTAAAAAAAAATCACCTCTACATTGTGTTCAGCTGAAATGAATGTAAAAACGAATTCAAGTAGGGGAATAAGATTTTCTAATAGAATAATTATCAACATTTAAACCTGTTACGCCTGTACATAGACACGTAATTTTGATATGCTTGAACTGTTACGAGTTTACCTAGTCGGAAAACGAGGTCGAGGATCCGGCGACACGACATGCTACTCAAATCCGTTTATCTCAACCCCCATATTGAGTAAAAATAAGAAGACTTGATATGAAGTAGAACCTGTATTCTACAAACATCCAGAAAGTACGAGGTCCGAGTGCAGAAGAGAATCGGGACCATGGACTAGGGATCCGGGTCCTGGTCCTAAAACGTTACAGATAATGCGTATTTATACATTTTGGTCGAATAAGAAACAGCATCGAAGTCTGTGACATTGACATTTAAGACGACCAATAGGAAGCAACATTTGAAGTGACAGTGATAGTCAGCACAGCTAATAAGAATCAACATTGGAGCACGTGACATTGATATCTAGGACGACCATAAAATTGACCAATAATTCTCTTAGGATATTGGATGAATATCCTGACAAAACCAGTACTACTTTCAGTATGTAGGAATAAAGAATTAGAATTGATGCTTATAAACTATTGAGACTTTGCATAAAATCACTTTCTTATTTGACTTGATACAGTTAATTACGAATAAATAGATTCAATTCAAGGTTCAGGATATTTTTTTTTGATTAGTTTATGGAAAAATAAACAATATATTCTATGAGTTTGTATAGACTCCTTTTTCCACACATACTAGTTTCTAACAGTGAAATAATTGTGATTTCAGATTATAAGTACGATTGTCCTTAGGTTGATGATTTATAGGTTATTAAATTTATTTTGAAACCAACTGACAATTATAAATCATCCGTACAAAATTTCAATTGGAAATAGAAATTTCTTGCCTTTTTAATTTCTTTATTGAATCATCATAAAACTGGCCCTATTTCACCTTGTTTACGTAGAGTATTGGTTTTTTTTCAAACAAATGTTACATTTATAACTGATTGATCATTTCTGTTTGTTACAATCGCTTATTTTTTTTAGTGTAATGATCAAGTTAATGACGTTGCTTTGATTGATTGATTTATCATGAACAGATAAATCCATTTTTTTTTGTTTATTGATTGGGTGTCGTCAGAATTTGATGATTAGAATTTGTATCATTTTCACAGCTTATCGATCGAGATGATAATTTATTTCTACTTAATCACTGGAAGAACGTCTGTACACATTGAAATCATCAATCAGTCATTGTTAGACTGTAATGACCTTCTGATTTATAACCGTCAGACGCCATCTAGTAACGATTGTCTGGACGAGCTAATTATGAAACTTAAGAACACCTCGAAGTCGGCACACTACAAGACCACCATTAGAAAGCAATGGACGGCCGTTTCGTCCTGGTTTACGACTCATCAGCAGTGGGCATCCACAACTCCCACTATCACTCGCAGGATTCGAAGCCAGGACCACTGGGTCGGCATCCAACGGTGTTAATGTCTAATTCTAATTGATATAGAGATTTTGCACGACCTCACCCATCTATCTTTGGTAGTTACTGCCTACACCTGATAGGGTTGAACTCCACTTGTCACGTATTCTCACTAGAATTCCGAGAATCGCCTCACGAATCTAGTCACTAGTAAGCACAAATTTAAGATTTTTCAATTAGAGTTATAATAGAGATTATTGTTTTTACACAATGATTGATTGATGATTTCAATGTGTAAAAACGATAATCTCCATAACTGTAATTGAGAAAAAAAATGTTTCTATTCAAAAATAAAAGATCAGAATCTATGGTTTTATTAAATAAATGAAAAAATACCAATTAACAGTAATTAACATTATTTGATTTTATTGGATAATTTTACGTTGTCATACGACTTTGCTTCGTCACATTTTGGTGCAAATTTACAAGGTTTCATTGCTTGTCGAAATTTCATCACGTGATTAAAATATATTTCATTTTAGGCACTATGTTGCGTAACAACCTCTTCACTGATTATGAGCATCTATATCTGATTAGATAATCATGATATATATATATATATATATATATATATATATATATATATAATCGAAACTAAAGCATTTATAACAATGCCTGACAGTTTTGAGTTTATGTGAAAAAATCATTAAAGTATGTCAATGACCTTGAATACTGTTAAATTAAAAATCATCAATGTGATGAGTTAATAATAATCATTCAACTAAATTCTTGAGAATAGAATTTTTTTGATTTACACAATGAATCAGTTCAATGATCAATCTATTTGTTTAAAAATTCCACATCTATGCTGATGTAATAAAGCCAAAGTGAACTTACCTCATTGCTTATTTCTGGTATTTAGTGGATTGATTGGTTTCTTTCGGTTATTTTTTTCTCCTTCATATCAAAGTGCATGTGTGTGTGTCTGTGTATGTAAACTTACTTTGACTGTACAAATCAATCATTTTTTTAAAACAAAAAGAGATTGTGCTTCATCAAAGCTATGAATGATAGCAGCAATGATAATAGACACATATAGTAATCATGATGAATCATGTGTATGAAGAGTAATATGGTACATAGATGAATCAGTGTGCATGTTTATATGCTACTGCGGTTGTTGTTGCAACGTGCGTGTGAGTGTGTGTGTGTGTGTGTGTGTGTAAACAACACACCAACTAATCGGTAGCCTGAATAAATTACTATGCATCTTTATTTTTTTTTTGCGTTCGTTTATAGTTTATTTACTACTTTTAATTTGTCATCTTTAAATCCGTTTTTATTTTAATCAGAAAGAAACAAAAAACAAGAAACTATTCTCATTTTATTAATTACATTGTAATCTAACATATTCTCTATTTGAAATAAATAAATCACAATTGACTGAATAAACAGTTTTTAATGGATATCGTAAACAAAATGTCAGAATAAGATATTAATAATAATGATAATAATAATTATTATTATATAAATAAACTAAAAGGATCATCATATCATTGGACACTTTCTGCATTGAAAAAAAATGAAATGAAACCTAGAACTGTGCATGAAAAAGAAAAAAAAACAGGCACCACATATATCATTATCGATCATTATGGCTTAGAAACTATTACAGTTATGAACTCATTTTTTATATATATGTGAAGATGTTTCTCTGTTTCTTTCTTTAAGAGATAGTGGAGAAAATTTTTATCTCAGATGGATGATTATGATGGTGTTCTATTGTCTGAGCTGGATGTTTTGGTTGTGAAGCTTTCATTGTTCTTCATCTTGACAACATTATCAGTACAAACTTCAAATAGGTGGAGTGAAGTATTGGAATTTCTCTACGATTAACCTGTAGCTTGTTCTGACAATCTCGTTCTTGATTGATTGTTGTTTGTACGTTTGTTTTGATTGTATCCCCCTTATGATCTGTTTGTTGATCCTATGTCGCCTATGATTTTTCTGATTGGTTAATAAATTGGGTCAATGTTGATG